ATATATATATATATATATATAAATTATGATCTATTTTCTATTTTCATAATTTTCATTTCCTTTTTTTTTTTTTTTGAAAAATTATCAAATGTATTATAAAACAAATAAAAATTTATAATTTTTATATTAAAAGTATATATTTGATAATTTCAACAAATATGTTAAAATCAAATGTGACAATTTAAATTTATATTTTAATGAAATAGCAAAGAATTTATGCTAATACGATAAATTATTACACTCAAAATTAAGGCTATGGAGTGAAAAAATTTCATGAAAATTGTTAAAATGAAAGATTGGAAAGGGAAAAAAGACAGGAAGAAACATTGATTCTTTATTGATGAAATTTAGGCTAAAAAGTAAGAGAAAAAAAGGAAAAAACTGAGAGAATTAGTAGAGGAAAAAAAAGGAAAAGAGAAGCTTAGCAATTGATTGAGTACGGAAATGCGATTATATCCGGTAAAATTCTTATTGTACGGGGAAACGAATCAATAGTATTATTATTATTATTATTATTATTATTATTATTATTATTATTATTATTATTATTATTATTATTATTATTATTATTATTATTATTATTATTATTATTATTATTATTATTATTATTATTATTATTATTATTATTATTATTATTATTATTATTATTATTATTATTATTATTATTATTATTATTATTATTATTATTATTATTATTATTGTTATTATTATTATTATTATTATTATTATTATTATTATTATTATCATTAATCATTATTAATTATTTATTATTATTTAGCAATAAAACTTGAATTCTTGTACATTTCTTTGTGTTCTGACTTCACTAGTGCTGAAGTAATTTGCTTATATCATTATATTCCGGCAGAATTTGTATGGATAGTATATTAGATAGTTATTAGATAGTATATTACATTCCTACAGGTGTTTCTCCGTGTATCTAAAATTTATTCAAATTTAAAACTGCATGTTGAAAGGTAAAATGTACTACGGCTGGATAAAGACGTCCAGTGTAGTTAGGTCAAGTACTGATGTCTGAAACTAGGCTGTAGGTTCCAGGGTGCCAGTTATAAAATCTCCCTGCCTTTTGGATTGGCTATTCATGATTCTTTCCAATTACCTGAAGAAATCCGCTAGTATAAGTCCTTCTTTTGATCTAATTAGAGTCTCGGGGCATATGTTTAACGTGATGACTGCAGGATTCACTTTCGAACCGATCGGTGGACGCATCTATGTTTTATGAGACAACTGTTCAGTACATCGTAAAATTCATTGGAAGACTAACAAGTTAAAAGTCACCACCCTTCATGAGGAAGTGATTGGTTTCATTAAAGTTCCAAACAGAGCTAACAACTGTCTCATTCGCTTTGAAGATGTCTATGAAACTTGGAACTTTCGGAACCTGAGACATGTATCTCATGTAACAAAGTCCTCTCATCACAAGTACCTTTGCAGTAACTCTGGAAAGCCTTTCTCTGTGTATTCACTTGTCGATATAAAAAAAAATATCAGAAAGCGCAGTAATAACAGCAGAGGAAGGAGTGCAGTTGTAGATGCAGCAGGCAAGCTATAGATAGATGCCACTTTGTAGTACACCGTCATATCGATGTAATGTTGTTGAACACCCATCCAACCTCTCAGTACCTGCCACCCGGGAAAGAGAAGAAGAATCAACCATTTACATTTTAAACATACTGCGGTTGTGTACAAGAGTGTGTTGCAATGGCGGAGTAGTCGCAGACTGACAAACGAAGAGGAGGATAGACGAAACTGAATTGAAGTGATCGACGAATCAACAAAATTAAAGCAAACCGTCTTCTCCTGTTCTTCCTTCTCTTCTTTTTTCCCTATTTTCCGACAACCAACTGTACAGGGCGAACATCATTTTTTCTCTTTCTCTCGAACTCTGCGAAATTCACTAAGCAAAAAAAAGCTACTTTTATTATTACCTCCACATTTTGTATTCCCAAACAAAAACGACGAAGACGACCGAACGAAGACGCGCACCCTGCGACATCATCACCGCGCTATCACCTGTTATCATTGTGTTATCAGCTATTCATTATCATTCTTCCTATTGTCAATATCACTAATACTGATACCGTCAATTTTTTGCGAACCTGTTAAATCTCACCTAGTAAAACGAGGTATATCTTTCTATCTTTTTATTACCATTATTTTAGTTTTATTATTATTGTTTTTATTATTTTTGTTACTATCGTCACTATCATATAATTATTTTTTATTACTATAATTATCATTGTTACTATCATTACTATTACATCTATTAACAGTACCCGACTACTACTACCATTCAAATTTACTTCCGTCTTCATCCTGTCATATTAAGAGATTATTTATTATTGAGTCATTTACGGAAGTTTTAATTTTCCGTGATGAATACATCGACTTACTCATGCGAAACAACGCCATTTTCGAACGATTGGTTCAATGTCAAACATATCGGCCAGCAACCGGAGCAGCTTTCCGTTGGTGAGCTTTACGATGTATTTTCGAATCAGTTTGGTCTTTAGTTCGCAAATCCGGTGGCGAAAAAAAAGTGAGAAAAAAGAGGTACAACTCAAGATTTGAATTTAGATGACCGATTATGCTTGAGTGGTCTTAATCTCATAGTATTATGTGGGAGGTCAAAGGCCATTGTTTTACTCCCCTTGTTGCATGCATGTCACTGATGCCTTTCTGCGCTAAACGTGCCGCTTTGGTGCCTCATGGATTAAATTTAGGTATATTTGGATGTATTTCGCTAAAATTTTGGATATATTTCGTGTTAACCTCTTTCGTCTCCCTTAAGCTATTATATCAGTTTTAATTTATAATGAATAAACATACAAACATATACATACATAGCTCACATATATGTACACATACCCACATATACACACATACATACACACACATACACACATATAAACACACATACCAATATATATCCATATATATACGCATACATACACGCACCCAGATACATACACACACACACACACACACACACATACACACACACACACACACACACACACACACACATAC